AAAAAAGAAAAATATAAAAAAACTTATTTTCTTCTGTGTCAGGAACGGCTGCTTATGAGCACGGTTGGTTGCCTATCCTCTCGGTGTACTTCTCGTCTACTTGCTCTATAAGTTTCAATGACGCAACTTAGGAAAGAGGGGAAGGGGTAGGGGCGTAGAATGGGTTGCCTTCCTCCGGGCGTTCTTCCCAACCCAAGCACACCTGCGACAGCCTGCCGTTACGCACCTTGGACTTGTGGATGTGCTGGTGCTGGTACTCGGAGTCGAACTCGGGCTCGCTGAAGTAGGACTGGTCCGTCTCCCACATGGTGGGCGGCACCAGCCCCGTTCCTGCGCCGGGGAACATGCCCCCGTGCAGGTCGGTCGACTCGAACAGGCGAAGCACGGAGCGGTCGCGGATATCACGCAGGTGTGATCTGCAGAAGTTGTGGCAGCATGAGACAAGTTTGCGTAGTTTCAAATGAAAACAACACGATGGAGTTTTGGCCTCGTATCATACCTATTCTGTGCAAAGTACCCATCGCAAACTCCTCAATAATACTTCAACATACCCTTTACTAGATCATCGACATAACTACCTGTAGAACTTCACAATACTTTCAAAAAAGCCCAATAATAATTGATAAAAACGCAGTGATCCTCCATCCACCCATAAACATAATCAAACGCCTCGTGCAAGTTCAGTCTGTAATTCTATGAATATTTCCAAGCAAGCGCTAACCTGTGGTCCTCTAGCTCGTAGAACATGTCCTTGTTGGAGTCGTGGATGTAGATCTTGACGTGCGGCGAGTCCAGGTACTCCATGGTGAGCTGCTTGCAGAAGGAGCGCACGAACAGCGCCTTGACGGTGTCTATGGAGGTGATCTCGTTGGGCAGCAGCGCGCGCTTGGTCTCATTGCGGTACTGCAGGAACACCAACCCTGCGCACACACATTCACAGTCAAAACACAGCACTACAAACACAGTCGTTGAACCGAAGTCGTATATGGAAAAAGATGGAATGGGAATCGGAATTTTGTGAGCTATACATCTACCGCTCTTAGGGTTGAAACTTTAAAATTTGAGTTACAAAACGTTAAGAGGGAGGTTTTAGGTTTACGGTTGTTACCGGTAGAAGTTTTGGGGGAGGTAGCGGGAGAGAGGGTGGTTTTTCAGTCACTGACGAGCAGGATAGTGTAGTGTGCGCGATAATGGGTGTGTCATCACCGCCTGATCCCCATGGCGCGACGGCGGGACTTTGGAGGGGGGTAGGGGGTGGGGGGCACACTAGGAAAATCACGCCATCATCATTGATGCTCTCCGCTCAAGCACCGTGCGAAGCCGACACGTGGCGCGAGGGGGGTGGTGGGTGGTGATCACTTGATCACTTAGAATAGTGGGGAGGGGCAGACTTAACGCGGCGTCAGATGGGAAGAAATGAGAAAGACGCGCAAACAAGTTTAGTGCGAAGCTCTACATTAAAGAGTTAGAAAACAAATATGCTGCCGGAGTTCAGGGAAAAAAACTGGAATGTGATTACTGGTACACTAGTTCGTCTAGGTGCTTTAAGGACAATAATTCCGCACCAGTTTACTCTGGAAGCACCACGAGGTGGCTGGTGCGACATCGTATCGGAGGGCGCTTAGAAATAATACAGGAGTGATTACAAATCATACCTTGTAGGGGGGATTGCTTGTGCTCTTCACACACACCATCGATTCGTGTAAGAGGCGTCGCGAGGGTTTGTCGCAGCGCAGCGCGGCGCTGGACGGGCAGAGTTGGGGGAGAGGAGGGGATGGGGGTCCAACGACTTGACCACGTCGTGTCATTGACACTGAATAATGGAGGGGAGAGTCTTGGCCGGAGACGGGTGGGCGCACGGGCAGGGGGTGGTGGCGGTGGCCAGACCCCCGCAGGCCCGGACGAGAGTGTTTTAGGAGGAGACACTGACAGAGAGGTGCACCTTTTACACTTTTAGGAGCGAAACAGAGAAGGGAGTGCATTATTTTCTTGCTTATTTCGTGGGTTTATAACGGCGAGCATTTGTTATTTTTTCGTAGCAAGGAAAATGATACTGACAAGAAAATGTAAATAATTTGCCTACTCACCCGCGCGAGAGAAACGTCCGAGAGCTGTTGCCTACTTACCGGGAGGCCACACCCGCGTCCGCGTCCCGGAGGAGAGGGACATGCAGGAGACGGGTCGACTAGTCAGGCAGCGGGGGGAGGGGGCGGCGCGAGTAACGCACAACGGATGGCCTACCGCCTACCAGTGCTACGGGGACAAGACGTGCAGGGGCAGGGGGCTCGACAGTGGCATCAGGATGGGGAGAGAAGGGGGGGGGGTGATTCAAGGAGACGAGGGGCATGCCGAGTTGCGAGGCAAAACAGCAGCCCCAGTCTGGCCGTGTGGCTAATGCTAGCTACCCACCCACCCCGGGGGGGGACTGCCCCGAGCAGATCGGTTCAACAGACGCGGGTCATGGCCACAAGACAGGAGAGGCAGGAAGTGCGAGAACTGATAATTCCTTGCGAATGATTTGACTGTTTTTACTCCAGCCAACGAAGGAATTTCTTCGCAAACGCGAAGGATTTTCTACGCATATTAAAAAGAAAATTGATCGAAATTATTGGTTCGCAATTGAGCAGGTATATACATTCGCAAGGATTCTACAATGAGAGAGTGACGCCAGCCAGGAGGAGCTGCAACTCGATAAACGGTAAAAATAGCTCCTTGATATCCAAGGACCAAGATTTAAGGACGGGGCAACGGAAAAACACATGGGGCGTCCTGGAATCAGTGTCTTGGTCCTTGAACATCAAGGAACTGTCTTTCACCGTGTAACTGGCAACTCCGGGCCGCTCACTCGTCTCTCGGTGCTGAGGGGTCGTGTCGGGTGGGCTGCCTACGCTCCCGGAGGTGAAATGAGGTGCGCGCAGGGCATGCAGGATGGGTGGCCTGCCCCCGGGGCGGCCGCTGGCCGCTAGCGGCGCCTTGGCGGAGCCAGCGCTGGGTGGGGAGGGGGGCCGGTCGCGCAGCTCGCGCTACAGTCCTAGAGGAGGGCGCATGCAGGACGGGTCACCTACTCACCCAGGGGCCGCTCTAGGGTCTTGCTAGGCGTGCGCACAACAGGCAGGGAGGAGCGCTGCTTGCCTCCACGAAAGAAACCCGTCGACGCCGTCTCCACCTCCGACATGATACCGGGGTCGTCGTCGAACAGCATGGCGTTGGAGGGCGGCGGGTAGCCTCGGGCCATCGGCGACTGCAATACAGAGAGCAGGAAGTGAGTGGAGGCTGAACACTGTGTTAAAAGGGAAGAAGTTTGCAAATAAAAAAGGACAATCGTGGAACTGATATTTTGACACATTACATATGCCATCAAGCGGCATGGGTAAATTTATGGGATGTGGAAAGAAGTTCCCGTAGCAAAGAAAACCTCAACTGGGTTTAGGGAAGTTCCTTATTTATTATTATTATTTAATTATTATTTATATTAAATTATCCTGCTTGAAAGATGTGAGGTAGAGAATGATCTTCTACAATCAAGACAAGTAACATGTCACATGCAGAAGTATCATTGCTCCCACTACAAGGTGTACTGGGGTATTCCGGACCAGTCGCTGAAGATGGGGGAGGATGAAGGGAGGCTGGGCATTCAACAGGATCCTCAATTTGGCATGCAAATGCCCCCTGTACTGTTGGTGCGGGGTCTGATTTCACGGCCCGAAGGCAGGCCCGAGGGGGAAATCACTTGCGAAATAGTTCGTACACCTTCCCCCGAAATAGTCCGAAATAAAGGCGAAATAGAGGCGAAATAGAGCGAAATAAAGACGAAATAGACGCGAAATAGTCGATGAAATAGTCGCGAAATACCCCTGAAATACTCCGAAATAGCGCGAAATAGCCTGAAATAATCCGAAATAGGCGGGAAATAGCCGAAATGGCAGGAGAAATAACCGAAATGGTAGGAGAAATACAAAGAAATAGTCCGTACGCTACGAACCCTAGTGATTTCCCCCTCGGGCAGGCCGAAACGCGGTAGCACTGCCAAACAAGCAGCAGCCAACGGAGGGGGGTGGATCTAACATATAAGAGACAACTGAAAGTAGTTGGGGGAAAGGAATGCATGGCCGAAACAAGGCTCTTAGTGATTCGACACAAACAGAAAAGAAATTAAGTAATTTAGCTGACTTGTGAAAAGGAGGAAAGGTTAGCTTACCTTCTTGCGTTGTTTGGCACTCATCTGGTTAGCGTGAAAAAGAAGGAGCAGGAAGAAGATTAGTTATTAGTACAATAGTTTGTGTAAGCAACAATGAATTAATAAATGACAAGCTATGGCAAGAACGAAAGCAACACAAGAAATTGAACTCAAATAGTCAATCCCTTACCCCCACATGCCCCCCCTCCCCTTAAAAAGAATAAAATCAAAATAAAAAATGCCGACGAGGTATGAGGCATTTTAACACTTTCGGTCGGCTGCATAGCACGAGCCTGTAGGTAATTAACATGAGGGCTGATAGCCATATTGCCCCCATTTCCACCCACTGCGCCCGACAAACATTGCCTTCGCCCATAAATCCAACACTTCATGAATTATCTGACCGCACCGGTTTCGAGCGCGGTAAAGTAAACGTTTATTTTCAACTACAAAAGGATTGGAGTGGCTTTTCTAAACCACAAAAGCGATGTCCTTAGCTTGTAGTGTATAAACATGCGACTCCATTCGTTTCTGTACAAAGCCTAAGTGTATGACAATGGTAACACACGAAAGGCGCAAATGGCAAGGAGAACGCGGACGTGATCAGGACTGTACCACATGGAGGTGGCCTCCTCCTCCACGTATCTTCTTAGGTAGGGGCGGAGGGTGGTGGTATGTGGCGGTGACGAGGGCCGGCTGTTTTCGTCGATGATTCGCTCACGCTCGAAATACCATCGGACGTATGCGGAGATACGCTAAGGGGTGAAGATGGAAAGGGGCGGGAAGGGGTGGGGGTAGGCCGCTGACTGGCGCCGGGACCGACGCCTAGGGCTTACGTCGTTCCCCCCGGCCCCGGCTTTCTCCCTACATCCTCCACGCTGAGCTAACGCCTTCCACCCTAGTCTCAGCCCACCAAGCCTTTTTCACGCAAACTGGTCAACAGGATTAGGCGCGTGCAGCTAGACGAGGCGGGGCGTCGCGGCGGCGGGGGCGGGTGGATGACGGCGGGGGCTGCGCCTGGTCGACGTTTGGCCGCCTGTCACCCTTCGTCCGTTCTTAAAGAAAAAATTGGTCCGCGGAAAGTAAGCGAACATAAAACCGGGGGTGTAAGGATAAGGTTTTGGCGGTGACTTTTTATTGCTGAGGTCCACGAGCAACATTGTATTATACGAGGGTGGGGGTGGGCCAAGAGACGCGTGCGAGGGAAGCAGGCAAGAAAGGAAAAAGAGGAAAAGAGAGCGGAGAGGAGAGGGGGGAGGATAAATCTTAATGCAGCACAATTTCGTTGGTCCAGCAGAGCAGCAGGAGCAGCAGCGTTCTGAGCAGGAGACGTTTCAGCTTCTGCATTGGGTGGTTGGGTACGTCGAGTAAAGAGAGAAAAATTGCAAGAGAAAAAGTAAGAATGGGGGGGTGGGGGCTGTAAATTGGCCAAAATTGTGCGTGTGGAAAACTGCGCGTCCCGCTAGCCTACTCCTGGAGCATTCCTCTTCTCCCCCCCCCCTACCCCTCCTTCCTGAACCCCGACGGTACGACGCCTTGCCACGCAAAACCATCATCAGACCGCAGGCGGTCCCAGCACAGAGGACGCCCCCCTTGGTGCAAACATCCGCCATAGCCCACACACAGGGACTCGTCCGAAAGAGAGAAAAAAAACTTGTCAATGGACAAACACAACTAATTAATGAGTTTCGGTCGCCTGTGTTGATTTTTCTTAAACATGTTCACAGTGTCACAAAGTTTTCGTTCTGCTTTCTCCCTATCTTACATGACGTAAAATTTTGCGAACAACTTTAGAAATTAAAAAGCTGTTCCCGAACGCTTTATACGTAATGGATAGTACTAGCGCATAGATGGGCAGAAATTACAGCGCCCGCAAGAAAAATAATTAAACTGATTTCTGTTAACTTTTCGGAAATAAATTAAGAGCATACAATTTCCTTCCCCGCGGAGCCTGGAGGGAGTGGCGTGAGTCACTGCCGTACGCAAACCAACGGCCATAAACCTAAGGGTGGAGGAGAGGAGGGGGAGGGAGGGCCTCAGCCAAATGCCATGCAGCGCGCGGCGGGCGCTTCCTATCTGAGAAGACCCCGGGACGCGACGCCGCCAGCCCTGCCAAAAAGTTGACGCCTTCGCCGCCCGCTCCACCCCACCCCCCATCCCACCCAGCTCTTCTCATTCCCCAGCCAGTGGAGTCGTAGGCTCGCGGGTCAGGCTGAGGCACCCCGCCCCACCCCACCCCCGCGGAGAGCGGGTTATGTCCCTGGCGAGAGCCTGCTGGCGCCACAGCGGATGAGGATGAGACAGAAACCAATTTGAGAGAGAAAATAGAGGGACCCGGAACGAAGAGAGGAGAGGACCCTGGGGGTGAAAGGAAAGGATGCCCTTGCTAACATGGCCGATCCAAATGGCACATGGCTCTCGTCAGTCTGCTCGAACGGAGCCGAGCAGACGCACTCGGAGAGTACCGACGCGTCTAGTTCTTCCGACGGGGCCCCCACTTCCAAACTAGGTCTACAACAAGTTGGCGAGCCGCGAGTGGGGATCAGTTTTTTGAGAGTTTTGCGCGGTTTTTCGCGAAATTTGCACGAGTTTTCGCGAGTTGGGCGCGTGCAAGTGTATAAAAAGTTGGCTCGTGTGAAACCCCTCGAGTTCTTTCACCTCCGTTCGGTTAAATTCCACTTATTTTCCACATACTTTCCCCCGCATGTGAGCGATCACAAAATATTGTGCCCGAATCATGTCGGGCTCACGTCCGCGTTTTTGCCGTAAGTGCCGCTCGAGAAAGGTCAAGAGAGGTGTAAATCTCTGCGGCCCAATAGCGCGGTGCGGCCGCCGCAGCTCAGCTCAAAGAGCATAGCCGCGCAGCTCAAGGCTCAAGAGGCGGTAAAAGAGGGTAAACGCGGCGGGGCAGAAACACGCGGCTGTCAGACTGGCTCCCCTCCCGGCCAGGGCCCCGGCCGCCCATACCATTGCGAACGCCTCGAGCCGTGCGAGGGCGCATGGCGCCGCAGCAGCGCCTCAGCCCGCCTTTGGTTCGACGGGGAATCGGGTCAAATCGGATAAAAACAGCTCAGTGCTTCTGGTGCGCGCCGCCGCCGCGCATGGCTGGCTGGCTGGCTGGCTAAGCCGGGTGCCTCGGCGCCTGGCGAGCGGCGGGGCGGGCAGCGCCGCAGCGCCCGGCTGCACACCGGGCATGCCTACCCAGAGCGGCGCTCCACCCACCGACACAGGAAGTCAAACCTTTTGCAACGGAAGCAGACTACGCCAGTCGCGTGTTTCTAAAATTATCAGATTACAAACTTTTAGTATTATTGTAAATTCAACGCATTTCTTTCCGCCAGAACAATGCAAAGAGTTCTTTCTCTTTCGTCATGTATTGCTACAAGGCAAAACGTAACACTGACTCAGTGAATCAGACGCACCACTAAACATTTCTTGTCACGATGAGGACGATACTAGCTATGGCCAATCATCAGTAAAGGAGATGTAACGAGAAAACCCGACTACATGACATCCCTGTCGTAAAAATTAGCCATGGTGTATTGTCGGCATCGTGGCAAGAAAACTTTACAGCAGTGCACAGAAAGACACAATTATTCTTTTCGATTAATGAAATAAAGCACCTAAATTCAACACCCCGATTTGCCTTCGTTCTTGCCATATACAGTGTGGGTGTGAAACTTCAGAGTCAATTTCACATGCCATGCCTTCAAGATTAATTGTTGAGGCCACGTTTTTACTTTTTCGTGCCCGTTGTTACGGCAGTCACACAGACTCACCTCGAGGTCCATGCTGCGGGACAGGGTGCCGCCCTGCGGGGGGAGGGAGTGCTGGTCGCCGCCC